CGACTGCATATATCCTGAAATCTTCGTTAGGATGTTTAGATAAGGTTAAACAGGTATAACGTGTATTAAATATAGTTGTCTTTTTGCCAAACATTTCAGTTAATTCTTCTACGGTTTGTGCGAATGTGAAATCGGTGGGTTTACTTGGTAATATAGTGTTTAAATATTGATCATGACATGTATTATTTAGCTTGCGCAATAACAGTCTAACCTTTGCTGCATCGGGTAAACCTTGTGCATCCACTTCAAACAAGGTTGCATAGCGTTCAAACCATGTATCAAAAAACGTACCTGTTGTTGGATCGAATTCTCGAATATTCTTACCCAGAGCCTTCATAAGAAACTCGTCCTTGCAATCTGTATTGCCATTGTTACCTGAGCCCTCGACTTTTGTGGAACTCGGTGGAAGGCGTCGTACCATGTGCTCTAAAAATTGTTGTTGCGATTGTAAAAACTGTTGTTGTAGCAACCGAGACTGCTCTTGTTGCGCTTTGAGAAATTTCGTGAACAAGGTATCCATTTTGTTCGTCGAACGTTGTATGGATTTCGTGTCTTAATGCCGAGCCTGGTGCCGTATCCTCGTCACCAATTATGTTGTACTTTAAGGAGGAAAGGTTCTCCGACTGAATGCTGCGTATTTCTATAAGATACTTTATTTCATCTCTACAAGATAAGCCCGTGATTGCACAACGAGTTGACTCTCTCTACCCTACTCTACGTCTGCCTTGCCCTGTCGCGCTCCGTCCTGCTGCACGCCCGTCTCGGAAGATGTCGCGCCTGTTCTGGCGCCAACACCAATAATCATCTGTAAAATATAATATTTGGCGTTTTTCTGCTTAATTGTTTTATAATGCATATTACAAATATAGGTTTTATATAACGAGATCTTGGTCAAAGCACTTCCAATGTAAACGCAATACCGTAGAATTATTGACACGTAACATTGGCAGTACTTTAGCATTTCTTCTGTAATCAATATTCACCTTATACTGGGAAATCTTGGCCAATGCACTCCCAACATAACTAATGTTTAGCCAATGCAGAACCAATGCACTGTGCTACTAGGGACGTTATGATTTTTAGACATTAGTTGCGTTGACGGCTTTGAGAAATGTCAGTTAGCCACGAGATGCGAGAATTTAACAATTTTTATAATAGTTTTTATAACCAATCAGATCATTAGGCTGCGCTGGGAAGTGTGAATTAGCCGAGCTTGTCAGTTGCACACTGTTTTATATATTATATAAAGTAACTCATATTATTTAAATAATCTTTAAGAAGAAATGTTAAAAAAAGAAATGTTAAGTGTATAGTAAGTGAAATGTTGTCTTGTTGATTGTAATCGCAGTTTTGACAAATCTGAAATATGGAAAGTAAGTTAGGACGTAACATTAAAATAAAATAGTCTGTAAGCTTTGCAAATATTATGAAGCAGTAGTTGAAACATCTTACCATGACCCAAACTCTTAATCCTTTAAGCTATTCTGATTAATCAGACTAATCAGATTTTCAATCTAGTTGTTAAATTGGTTTACTCATCTCTAATGGAAATATTTTTCTGAAAATTTAACAAAATTTTGCTGAAATGTATTTGAAAATTTCTCTCAATTGATCCCATTAATTAATTTCATAAATATTTCAGCAATTTTTCATTAAAAAGTAACAGTTTTCAGTTTAATTCAGTAAATTTCATAATGATAATTATTTCAAAACTCTTTTATTACTTTTCAGCAGTATATTTTAACTTTCCTTGTATTTCATAGTATTACATTAAATTTTTATACGGAAAATTATGATTTATTTTGAAATATATTCAGTAATTTTTCAAAAACTTTTATTTTACTTTTGATTTCATAGCACTTTCAGTAAAATATTTCCATCAGGGATCTGTAATGACATTAGTAAAATTGCTAAAAAAATTAATATTTTATCCGATCGCCAAATTGTATCATATTGCTTTTTAATTAATTAATAAAATTATTGTGGTAAAAATAATAATCCACTAGATTTTTCGTTCCATGAATTATTGTTATCGTTAAAAATTGTTAAATGTTAAAATTTCTGCAAATCAATAATTTAATCTAATTTTTTTAATTATATGAGTTATTGTTGGTATCATTAAACATTGTTATGAATTTACTCTGGAATGGATTCTAAATTACGAATGTTAGTAGCCTTGTGTCAGTGCGCGTTTCGTTGTATAAATTTATTTTGTGTTTATATTTAGATATCCTGTCAATTACTGAATCAAATTATACCATTCCATTTTATTCCTTCTTTGTTGGAAAGAATAGAAGTAGAAAAGTATGCGTAGGATAATGTAAGAAGAAAATTAAATTTCCTTATTGATTAGTAATAAGTTTAGTACTGAGAGATAAGAATAAAAAAGGAGTTCAGTGCCACTCTGCTTGTTGAGTGGCTTATTTTGTCTTTTTATCAAAATTGTTTGCACACAAGTGAAAAATTATCATAGGCATTGTTAATGAAATAATGTGACTGTTGCATCCAAGGTTTTAGCAGCATAATTTTGAAACAACAGTGCAAACTCGAACTATGAGTTTGACTAGAACAAAATAACATTAGATAATGAATTGTCATAAAATAGATTGATTTCAGAAGTAGTTTTTATAAAAAGATAAAATAAGATACTCGACAAGCAGAGCAACACTGAACTTCTCTATGAATCTTATCTCTCAGTATTAAACTTTTTACTACAATTGTAATAAAATTGAATTTCTTACATATTCTATATATACCTTTCCACTCTCATCTTTTCAAAGAAAGAAGAAATAGAGTGAGTTGGTGTGGGTTGCTTTGGGAACTCAGTAGCTGAACAGCAAAATATAAAGATAAAGATGTACACGACGAAACTACTTACACAAGACTATTAACATTTATAATTAAGAATCCATTTCAGAGTAAGTCCACAATAATTTTTAATTTTAATAACAATAAGTCATATATTTCAAAAAAGTTAGATTATTGATTTGCGAAATTTTAATATTTGACAATTTTTTGTTAATGTTATTACAGATTATTAAAGCAATTTATAGATATAAGAGACAAAAATAGAATTGACAAATTAGAATTTGCACAATCCTTATGAACTTAAAAAAAGCATATCTATAAAAAATTACCTTTTAAAAAAAAGCTAAAAAAACAAGTACACGTGATTGTTAGAACAGTGTTATATACATGTATATAAAAACCTACAGAAAAAATTTGTCATATATTTCACATCTATAGAAAAAATTTATCATATTATTATTATTATTTTATTATATTTTATCTATAGAGAAAACTATCATATTTATTTCATCTATTAAAAAAATTGTATATTTTATTTATATTAGTCTATAAAAAATATGATATGAGAAAATGGCGCTAACAAGGGAACGTTCACAAGTGTCCCCCCCCGATTTGATTCTCCTTGAAATATGTTGTAAAACATACAATTTGAGGAGACACGTATTTTTTTATAGCTGCCCTATCTCAAATTTAAGGGGTGAAACACCCCTTTGAAAAAAAACGGTTTTTTTCTTTGTGTGTAACTATCGCCAAAACCGTAGGAGATATAAAAAAATGTTTCAAATAGAAGTTGTAGGGCTTGTAATAGGCTATATAACTGTGTAGTTGGATTTTCAAAAAATGTTATTTTTTTTAATTTACTCCCACCCCTTGTTATTATTTTTTCGAATTTCAAAATTTTTGTAATGACAAAAGTTGTAGCATTTTTACGCTGAATTCAACCATATATGATTTTATTATGTTCCGAAATCGCATCTTTCAAAAATGAGTCATCAAGTATCAGATTATATGTGTCGCGCTGCATGACGCATCGTTTATATCGCACTTGTGTTGTGCAATAGTCGCAAAATAAATATAAAAATGAAATACAATATGTTATCACATATT